TTACCAGCAGTATCATTTTCACCCACTCTCTTTCTCTCTTGACAATCAATCCAATGGATCATTTTCCTTAATGATTGCTGTTCACACTTTGCATAACTATTTCAAATATCAAGATGCTGAATGGTTTTGATGAACACAGATAATCAGTCTATGATTATTTACCATCATGATGTATTCACAGAGGCTCGGTGCAGGTAGACAGCATACAGCAGCCATGCGGCAGTCCACAGGAAACAAGTCCTCCTCTAATGGACGTTGAGTCTGTCTTTATAGATGACTGTGACTTCAGAAGTGAATGAGAGCCAGGTGTCAACCACCACTGTAATAATATTCATTTGGCCACTGATGCATCAAACAGTCACTGAGTGCTTGCCAATATCATGTGTTGCAAAGGCAGACATTGTCTCTATGGATCTCATACTGCTATCTATGATAAATATGTGATTTGGTGCAATGCTGGTATCATAAAGGAATGAACCAGGGAACTGCTGAAGAATTCAGGGGGTTGTAAAGAGGTCAGTAGAGAGGTTCTTACAAATGAATACATGGCAGATGAGGAGATAACTCAGTGGAATAAGTGCTTGCCTGGCAAGTGCAGGGTCCTGAGTTTGGTTCCTGGTATAAAAAAAAAAAAAAAAAAAAAAAAAAAAAAACCATGGGTATTTTGTAGCAAGAAGTATGTGCTCTTAAGCAATTGAAGGAAATGGTATCAGATGGATGACAAGAATTGCTGCCCTATTAGATAGAATCAAAATGCACAAGTAATCAAAGAACTATGCATAGAGTCTGCAAAATTGTGACAAATTCCATGTGGCTTGAGGGAACCAGTAAAGGATGGGGAAAGGGTGCAACTGTAACAGAAAATGTCCCCCAGCCATTATATTTCAGTTTCTTAGTTGTTTACATAATAGTTCCTTTCCAGGTGCATTTGCTTCTGCTTCTTAGAAGTGGCTGGTAAATGTGATGCATAGTGGGTCATTAGGTTGTACATTTTATAAACTAGTCCCCAGTGGACAAGCCATTCTGTCTCTGTACTTCCTGCTTGCTAAACTCACATAAGTTCTAGACCACCAGAGATTGGGGCCTATATTCTGGGAATGATCCCAATCAGTGTCAATGTAAATAAATCCACCTGCAAATCCTGGGTATCATTTCAGTATTTCTGCTTGCCTTAGAATCTGCTGCATCAGAGGGAAGACCAATCATGCTGACTTTTTGGTCACTGTTCATGGCCCTTGTAGATGGATCAAGGACCTCTCCAGGTCCTCACAAGAAGGTGTGTCCTCGAGGTTTCTCTAGTCCCCTAGAGGCCTGAAAGAGGATTCCTGGCTCCATGCCTGAGTGGTTCACATTGGACCCTAAAAGCAGGAGGAAGCTGTCTGTCTGTGTATCTGTCTTTCTGTCTGCCTGTCTGTCTGCCCATCTGTCTGTCTGCCTGTCTGCCTGCCTACCTGATTCCAATAAGACCCTAGGAGCATGCCAGTTAGCCAGTCTGTCATCCTGCTCAGTTTGAGCAGAGGAGCTTGATCAACTGTTGTTAGTGAGGTCCATCCTTAAGGGAAGGGTGTTGGTGCATTTCACCTCTGTGCCTGCTAAATGATTGTGTGAGTGAGTGGAATGGACAGCATAAGCAATAGGCTGCTCCATCTGTGCACCAAGACTGGGAAGCACTTGTCCTTGTGGCTGATTAGACACTCGCTTGCAATTCCAAGGCAATCAACATATGGCACAATGGAGGCCTTGCACCTAAGTTCCTGTGAGGGGCATGAACAAGCAGGCATTCTGGGGCATGGTGGGGACCACCCACCCTTTGTCTGTTGCACCACCATTCAAAGGTACATGACATACACAGGGAGAATGGAAATGGGAATTAATTAGTCAAACCCACAGTCCCTGACTACAGGAAAAAGGGCTTTTAGGGAATTAAAAATGAAACCAAACTATTCCCTGTGTCTCAAAGAAAGAGAAAAGAAAAAAAAAGAAGAAGAGGCCCATTCTTCCTGAGAATCCATCTTGGCACCACATCAGTTTGTACAGTTGCTACCTACAGTTGCACACCCCCACTCCTGACTCATTTACTTTCAGCCAGTTGAACTACTTCCAGGTAGCCATTGCCTGCATTTGTCCATAGAACACCTGGCCCTGAGCCTTTTGCTTCATGGATGCACCTGTCCTTGTCAGATGGTCCCTGGGATGACTGTCAGCAATTTCTTCCAAGTCCATTCGACACACAAATGTCCACATTTTGACTGAGGAAAGTTGGCTCTTCAGCCCTGACAAATGACTTGCCATGGTCTTTCCCAAAGGTTGCCCTGCCTAGAAAACTCAAATCAGTCAAGCACTTCTCAGAGACTTCAAAAAGGGAGACAGAAAGCTCATCAACCACTGTACCCAGAAACCTGATTAAAGAAAAGCACTTAATGCCCATAAGAAAATCCAGTTAGACAACCATGTCCTCTAACTATGAGCTATAATGACTACAAACATTAAAAAAATAAGGACTCTGAAAACCTTCAAATTGGATCAGATGACAATCCTTCTAATCATCCTGACAGGCTCCGAAACGCCAGACTGGGCTCTCTTCTCCACCTGGCCTGCCAGAAGCCCACAGTACCCTCATTAGGGCAACTGGGACTCTCTTGCCTCTCTCCCATTCTGCCAGGCACAAGCTGACAGCCTAGGAGGACATCTGCTGTGTAGGCCAGTCACCATACTGCTTCGGGGAAGAGACCTCCTCAAGTTAGAAGTCACCATCTGCTTTGCATCATGCCATCAGCCTTCTTGTTTAACCTTGAACTTTCAACTCTAACTGCTCCCTGAGAGGAAGAATGTGCCTGCATCAGTCTGAAACAGGAACCTGCAATCCTGAAATTCTGGACACTCCCCTCCCAGAGGTAGGAGCAGAAGACTTGCCTCCAGGCCTGCCTGGCCATCAACCCTGCCACCTCACTTCAATCCCTGTTGCTGCAAGATGTCACAGAAAGTACAAGCAGGGCTGCAGCCACACATCAGCCCAATAGACTGTTAATCTCTTTGTGCAAGATCCCTGTGCCCTCAGGAATGTAGCCATCACCTTGCAGTGTGCAGTTCCCAACACATACACACTTTGGACTATTCTAGATTTAAAATATGCCTTCCTCTGTTTGTGAGTTGCTCATATAAGTCATTTCAACTGGGAAGATACTGACATAAAAAGCAAGTTCACCTGGACTCGATTGCCACAAGGGCTTAAGAACTCTCTCACTATCTTCAGAGAGACTCTAACAACAGATTTGGTCAAGCCACCAGCACCTTTTCTCTAAGGTTTCTCTGTCCCACCCAGCTCTGCAATGAGCAAACAGTATAGACTGTCATAATTCTAACATGCACCTCTCCTTCCTGTAAAGCCAGTTCAGTATGTCTAAGCTATCAGTTGCCCTCCATATATGTTGCCTCAGTCTTCTGCTACCTGCAGCCTGCTCTTACACCTGCCTGGACCTAAAGAATGCCTCTGCCTTCAGTTCAGTTGGCTCCTGTCAGCTAGACCCTCTTCACAAAGACTCTGATTCTGGACTCAAAGGTTAACTCACCTAGACTCAATCTCCCAGAGGTTCAAAACCTTGTTTCTTCTTCACTGCACTTCTGATGGATGAATCACAAACTGCCTGCTGGAAAGGCACAAAAACTCTGTATAATATCTGGCAGAAACTGGTTATAAGAAAAAAAAAACTTCCAATTTGTTGGACCTGCTGGCTTCTATAAAATCTGGATCCTTGAGTTCATAAAAACAGTGATGCAAACTGTCAGACGCAGTGGCCTACCTGCACAAATACTTGGATCCAGTCACTAAGGGCTGCTTCTCTCTTTTGTCTGTGTATTCTATCTGATAGCCATGGTCCTTCAGATCAAGAAAACTGACCAGCTCACCTCGATCTGAGACCTGGCTCTCCAGGGGCTACATCCACTGGCTTGAACTGATATAAAAAATCGACCCCCTGACAGATGCTGAGTACACACATTTAATGGGTGGAAGAAGCACTGCTAGGAAAATAAAGTCTGACAGGCTAGATAGGTTGTGGTCACCTCAAACAAAACTATTTTGCCAAAACATTCCTGCATGGGTGATCTGCAGAGAAAACTACTTCTTGCTTGCTTATCTCATAATTTCTTCACTCCACTGTCAGCATCAACATAGAGGGAAGCCCTGTAACAAGAGAAACAAACCATAAACTTCTGGTGGAAGAACTTTAAGTCTTGAGGACCTTGGCTAGGCCCATCCTAAGGTCACTAACAACCCTAAAATTGCTGCTTCTTGTCCCAGAAGATAATATGTAATATGCCCAAAAAATATTTGCTGGGAAAACTGAGGGGAGAAAAGTATCCAAAAATGGCCCCCCAAGCCAGTATATTTTAGTTTCTTAGTTGCTAAGGTGATCATTTCTGTTCCAGATCTGGTTGCTCCTGTCTCTTAGAAATGGTAGGGCTGGGGAGATAGCTCAGTGGCTTAAGCACCTGCATGGAAAGCTCAAGGTCCTGAGTTTGATCCCTGGTACAAAAAAAAAAAAAGGCTGACTACTGTGATGTAAATTGTATAAACCAATCCCCAGGTGGAAAGCCATGCTTCCTCTGCCTGCTTGCTTATCCCATATAAGCCCTAGACCAGCAGAGATTGTGGCCTGGTATTCTGGAAATGATCCTGATCAGTGATGATGTAAATAAATCTGCTTCCACATCCTGGTTGTTACCATTTCTGCTTGCCATTGCACAGACACCCAGGGGCTTCAAGGTAAGCAGGATACAGGCTGCAAAGGACTTATGCCAATGAGCTCAAATTTTCTCTGTAAGGGATCCAAGCGAAATCTCTAAACAGAGGATGATCTAATCAGATTTTTTGAATAAAGATCTAGTGCTGGAATAAAGGATGGATTTTAGAAGATTGGTATTTCCTGGATGCTTTTTTGAGAAAGGAAAATTCCATGGCCATGTCCCAGCTAACTCTTCATCTTTGTGTGTCTCCCTAGTGACAGTGCTGGCCATTTTCCATGAATTGCACGTTGACCCTGACCTGTACACACTCTTGTTTGGGGAGAGTGTGTTGAACGATGCAGTGGCCATAGTCCTCACATAGTAAGTAACACAACTCAGCCTATGTTTCTTTATTCCATCTGAAATATGATGCAATTTGGATATAATTCCTGATGTCTTTAATGAAATCTTTTATCGATGTCATAGTGATGGGCAATTTCTAGCTTTTAGGGAATTGTTATCACAGAAAATCTCCCTTAATGGGCACAATTCATTAGGTGCCTAATTTCTAAAACTATTAATGGTTTTTGCATTTCCAGCTTATTACAAAATATCACCCAGAGGGTAACAGATATTTTTTTCTTAGTGCATATAGTTGGCTGATTCACTTAGGGTTTATAAAATGCACATAAATGAGCTTCCTTCATTTCAAATCAATGTCATTTAAATTCTTTCCACAGACAAGTTACTTTTTAAGATAACAGACTAACAGAAGCCCTTGTGTTTATAGAGAGCTTGGCAGATTGGAGTTAGAACTTGAGGGTCAGAATACTTTTTATTTCTCAATGCAAATGTAATGCTTTATAGGACTGCACACATCTTTAAATCATCTTTATGACAAATGAAACTGATGGAGCTTCAGCTAAGAGTGAATGTAATTTCCTTTTGTGTTGGGAGAATTTTCTCTTTGAGATGTGAACCGGTGCTCTTTCCTCACCTCTCCTTTAGACACTTACCATTTATATTTAATAAATGCCACTTTGGTAGCTTGCATTATGTCAAAGGTCTCTTCTTGGTTTTAGATTAAGATCAACATTTTGGATAACTGTCAGACATCCTAGAGGAAAGTAGCTATCCAATAATTAAATGTGACAACAGGACCCTGTCTCTGGTGTTAATTACTTTGAATGTAGTTGAAAATGTATTGTGAAGCAACAAAGGATTTTCAAAAGTCAGCTCTCACCCATGGGAGTAAGAGAGTTAGAAATGGCAGCACTATTTTTGTTTTTGTTCTGTTTGGCTTTTGCCCATTGACATTTCTTCCCGCTGCTGCCCCATAGTTGACACTAAATTTAGCAACTTTCAGGAAAGCCTCCAAATACAGTGCCTACATTTCACCTGGCCACCTACCTACCATCAGTACAAATTAAAAGCACTGGGCAGAGTCAAAAATACTAAAGACTACTTTCAAAGAACACCAACAATTAATTAGGACAACAGGAAGCTCTGTCCAAGAAATACCAACATGCAAGGAACATATGGAGCAAAAACACCTTTTAGATCTGCTGAGTTCCTCATTTTTTACATTTTTTACTTCATTGCCAAGTTGTGAAAGGCCAAGCAATGCAAAACTCCTGAAGCACAAATGAGCTTGGGAAAAAACCATGTGGCTACAACTGAGAGAAGTTTTGGCCTTTCTGCTTCCAGTATAACCACTCACAGGAGTTTTCTATTAAAAATGCGGACTCTGAGGAAGAATGTTAATGTTGTGGAGCTCAAGCCTGAAGGTTATTTTTTTCCCATAATTTTATTGATAAACAAATAGCAATGAGACAGTTTCAAATCAAGTTGGTAGGACAGTTTCAGTAATTCGCACATTACATACATTCTTCCTAGTGGTTAATTGCTGTACAAGATGCAGACATGATATCCTATTTACAAACACCATTAGAACAAATCATTCTATTCATTAAGA